TAAATGTTGCGTATACAAATATCTTCATGTAAAAATCGGAGTATCATGAAAAAATCAAGAGACGAGAAGCTAGCTTAATTCGGCCTACGTTTCAATTCTTAATATCACGTGATCACCGGCGGGAGCATCTTGAACGTGTCACGTGATCTCAGTCGACGAACTGAATTCGGCCGATAGTCGTCCGCGGCGACGTTCGTTTTTTTACGGTTTTCGGTGCGATTTTCGCGCGTGTGTTGCACCGTTGCGTCGTCGGAATCACGCGATTCCGCATTCCGGAATTGTGTGGCGTTGAATGTGTCGCGTTCGCGAACGTAACTGTGGACTTCGCTCGTTGTGCTAGTTCGCGGCCTCACACAACTTTGAAATGCGCCGCCAGCGAGATGCGAGGTTATGACGCTGTGCTCGAAGATGTACCTTGTCGCACCTGTTCGCTTCTGGATTATCTCGTCAACGGTGGACGACCCTTGCCGATCTTGCGAAAGGTAAAACACTCGAATGTGCAATTAACTTTGATGCGCTCAGGTGGAAAATTTTCTTAGAATTATTATTTAGCGAATTTTAAAAAATAATTTTTAGAAATACTGTGAGAAAGTTTACATCGTTTTTTCTTTTCTTAGAATTTTCCATATATGTGTGAATTCTACTCTTTAAATTCTTTGGACTGGCTTCTCACTCTAAAGGGTGAAAATTGAGTCAGTCTTGAAAAAGGCTCATTTTAAAATGAGATTTACTAAAAAAATTATAGAGAGTGAGATGCTCTAAAATTTCTAAAATTTTTTATTCTGTAATTTCTGAAAAAATACGTTAAACTTTTTCAGATTTTATAAGATTCCATCAGAGTGAGAAATTTTATAAATCTTAAAATAATGTAGAGAATTCGTAGTATATATAAAGAATTCTAGAAAAGATATGTGTATATATAAACTTTCTAAATACTTCTAAAAAGTATTCCAATTTGTGTAAAAAGATTTAAGTAAAAAAAGATCTTTTTTACATAAAAGAATATTCTTTTTATACAAAATTTTTATATAAATTTTAGAATTTTTTAGAGTTTCTAAAATTTATATAAAAATTTTGAAAAATTATATGAAAATTTTGAGAAAAATTTTTACCAGGGCAAAATCGCGAACATTTTGAATGTTGCATAAACAGCGTTCGAAACTGCAATATAATTTCAGTAATTCTTGACTTCGCTAGCATTGACATGTAAAAGTTATTTTTACACTTATTATTTACGATGGGAAAACACATATAACGATGAAATAAATTTTCCTATGTAGAAACATGAATAGTCGGAATTATATCAGTTTCTATAAGTAAGAGTTACGCCAGAGAATTGACGCGAGGGCTGGAAAAAAGTCATAAATAGAAAGCGTTATTTTGAAAAAAATTGAAGATGATAGCACAATTAATAATTGGTAAGATTAGAATTCAAATAGTTCGTAAAATTAGATAAAAAATTTTAATTAATTCTTTGCAATTTCGTATAACATTTTTCATTTAATCATTAATCGTTTTGAATACCTACATTTAATAATGATACACTATATTTAATAATGATGGTATTCTAGATGAAATAATAAACGAGAATCTCTTGACTGAAAATTTTTTCTACATACCTTTCTTTCATACATATGTATGATAAAATTTGCATATCTTTTAACTCTACTATGTACTTGCTGTTGTTTACCACAGATACAGCTGAAGCACTTCATAAAATGAAATGATTTGATGACATTTCACTTAGATGGATCGTGTAATTTTTTCTAGGACGGAAACGTGAAAATTTTTTTAATGTATTTATGTATATATGTGTGTACATATTATAAAAATGTTCACTTTTCTGTGAAAAAGTTATATAATCAATATCTAGATCACAGCTGGATTCTTTATTTAAGACTAAAACTACTGGCAAGTTCATTCAAAAGTATTTTAATAAATTTCAGCACTGTATTTTTTAATACGAGTAAAAATTCGAATGTATTATATTGTTTTGCGGAACACTTCTCACAACACTATACTATAATATAATACAATATAATATGAACAAATAATTCAAAGAAGCTACGCGGTTTACGGGTTATCTCTATGGCTTGATACATTGTTAAGTACCAACGTTTCGTGAAAATTGTAGATTACATCAGGGCGAGAAGCAACCTGATGCAATATTACGTTGCTTTTCGCTCCAATGAGTGAATTGCAATGTTCACGAAACGTTGGCATTTAACAATGTATCAAGCCACGGAGATAACTCGCAAATCGCATAGCTTTTTTTAAGAAAATACTTATGGAAGGTTCAAAAGAAATAATTATAATTAAACAATTATAATTAAACAAGAAAATACATGTAATATTGATATTTCTAAAACGAGCGTTCTTGTTTTAGAAGAAAATGCATTTATTTAATTTGAAACGTATTTTAACAAAGAAAATTATTTTATTTTTTTGTCTGCTCATACTTTCACACGTACGGTGCCGAATACATTCTGCCACGTGGAAGACATGCACTTATATGGATTCCAGTACATATTGACCTGTACGTGGATAAGTACGCTCAGTAACATGGCAAGACTACTTGCCACGTCACGTCTCATATCCGAGACTGACTTGACGCGTCGTACAAATCTTACAAGCGTCGGGGATCAGCGTCGGACGGTAATGCAACTCCACGGTAGGGTAAGCCGTAAAAAGATATGCCTGCATTCTAAGGAGAACGAGTCAAGATATCCCTGCACTTCAAGTGGAATAATGATCTAGACAGAACATTTTAGACTGACTAAAAACTGCTTGAATCGTTGATTTTATAAAGACTTCTTATGTACAGAATATTATTCTGTTAATATTATTCTGTTAATTATTCTGTTCCATGTAATTAAATAATTAATGAAAGAAAAATCAGGTTTCATGTTGAAAAGTGTTCTAGTGTGTCTTCGAGATTTCTTCTTGGCTAACGAAAAAAAACTCACCTATTTTTTGTGAAAAGTAAAATTTCAAAACTAATATCGATCTGTTTTTCTCCTGAAACTTCGTATCATATTGTAAACCGTCAATTTGCAACTTTTTTCCAAGCTACTGCTTCGTGAAGTCAAGGTTGATGACCTTGCGCTTGTCTCGAACAACCCTCGAGTTTTGTATAACACATCTACGAGACATCGTCGAGGCACGAAGAGAACTAGATAAGGGGAAAAGAGGAGGGCGTGTGTTGGGGATGCGGGTGGTTTTGCGGGGGTCGAGACGACGCCATGGGGTAACCCGCGCGTTGACGTTCGCCCGAAACAGAGGGTGGCTCGCGTGGGCATCGAAAGAAGAGTGCATGATGGGGCGAGAGAGAGAAAAGGGGGGGAAATAAAGATAGAAAGAGGTGAACCGATATGTTGGGACGCACTATGGTTTTGTGACTATTGAACTCTGCAGTGGTTTACAGATCACTAGATTATATAAAACGCCCGACTGTGTAATTAATTATATAAACGGGAATTATTTTCTATAATTATATTCCTATAAAAATAAAAATTATTTTCAAACTATCATAAATGAAGATATTGTGTAATACAAATAAATGACTTCCATCATTTTACTTATCATATCGCTATTGTGAACTAATTTAATTTTCTACGTCTTATTTTAATATGCTAATTAAAGTATTATATAATATATGCAATTTGTAATCTGATGATTTGCAATCTGATCTAATTTGTAGCCTGATCTCTCTCTCTCTCTCTCTCTCTCTCTCTCTCTCAATTCATATCCTATCATTAAAATTAATCACATTGCAATTTTACGCTTTTGCAATATGATATTTGATAATATCAATTAATTTAACTAATTAATTTAATGAAAATCTGATATCTTCTTGAAGACTCTGAATATTTCTTCAATTATTCCATTGAATATTATCTCGATCTGAATTCATGATCCTAATTAATATAAAAAAATTATCAGTGCATGATGAAAACGAAAATTTAAAACTTCATATACTTTCGGATTTTTCATTTTTAATTGGCATTTTACTTTTTTTTTTAAATGTTAGGAATTCGATATATAGAATCTTCAGAGATCCTTTTTGGAGAAGATCCAGAACACTGTTTATTATACTAAAATTTAAAAAATCATTCTAAAATTGTGCGATTAATTTGAATGCTAAATACTTGATGAAGGCAAATGAAAGTTATTTTTTTGCAAAGTCGTTGCTTAACCTAAGATATTTCGGATAAGTGCGATTACGACCTGTGTTTTAATTCTGTGGCATGCGTCCCATGTGCACTGTGCACGCGCGAAGATTGGCACGTTTTCCAGACCCATCGATGCATTGCCATGGAAACGGAACCGCTGCTGTACGTTGTATCATATCGTCACGTTCCGCCGCTTTAGAACGGCAGGCTAGTTTCAAGGGCACTGCTCTATCGTGCCTTAAGGAGTGCAAGGACGATCAATATCCCTTTGCACCCTTATTTCCATCATTCCCATCAGTCTGTCGAATACCTATTTTCTCACATTAGCAATCACGTACTTAAACGATTACGTTACTCCCTCCAAAGTTGATCCAGAAGATCCGTTAAGCAGAGTGTCGTATATTTATATTCCATCTGCGCTTTTTTTTTTAAAGAGAAAATTATACATTTTTTCATCGCTTTTAAATGTCACGATTATCTGATTTGTGCATGAAAATAAGTTAATGAATTCCATAAATGCTTGAAGTATAAATACGATAATATTTTTACTAATAAAAAAATAACTCGACTACTCTTGACATTTTCTCGCCGGGATTGTGAAGTGAGATTGCATGCGCGGCTGTCAAAGCTAATTGTTATGCCTGGAAGTACGTACTCGTTCGAATGACAATGCAGAAAGTGTCGGGGAGATATTTATGCGGCGTCAACACGAAATCGATCGCTTTAAAAGTGGCACGGTTTAGCATGTAGCCCTTTTATATTTCAGGAAGCACGCGGAAGAGGGAGGAATGAGGAGATTCACCCGGTGACCTCGTGCCGCGCACGGTAATGCTACTGGCAAACGGTGCTTCTATACCGACCATCGCCGGCGCTGTCGAGGAGGAGGAGTACGCACGCAGCGAGGCAAACAGCGTGCATTACGATGGATACGTTACTGATCACACCGATCTGGCCTCGGAGGTCGATATCGACGAGTCCGAGTACAGACGAGAGTTGCTTAATGACGTGAGTTATTATCCCGAAATCGCTAGAAGCCAGAAATAAATCATTTAGTTGTCATTTTTTTCTAATTATTTGTCAAATTAATTGTCATTTTTCTAATTCACGTCATTTATCATAATCAGTCCATAACATTTTTATCTTGTTTTTTTTTTTGGAGACATACATAAGTAGATTCTGTATTAAAATATTTGATAGATAATTAACTTTGTTCATATGCAAGGCATCTTTTTGATATCAATTTTGATGAACATGATGATTAACATGAATTTCTATTAAATTACAGAAATGGCGAATGCTCTTCGACAAGGTGTGTATAATTGCATAATTGCTTTAAGTTTAATGTTTATCTATTTTTGGTGAACTAAATTTCGATTGGCCACTGTTCCAGTTCGATCCGGAGGGTTTTGGAGAGATACCGCTGGAGGACTTTCTGACAGCCTTGAAAAGCCCCGAATGGAAGGCAGAGATACCGACGAACAAACGTGACATACTTCTAACCAGGGCGAAAGAGTCGCGTGTTGAGGCAGTTACTTTCCAGGACTTCGTCAATGTGGTGAGTTTGTAACTCTATTATTACATGCGCACGACTATTACCTTACTCCAGAAATGCGACATAATATATGACATAATTTCATATAATGTAATGTTACACTCATAATATTGCACTCACGTAAAAACAATAGGATTTACTAGCGTTCATATAATCTGAAAAACACTTATATTATTAATTAAATTATTTATTCACATTTTTGTAAAGATTTAGATTCAGAATTAAAAAAAAAAGATTTTAGTTAAAATCCTTAGAGCTGTGAGTATTTAATGGTTCGGTAAATGGTTTAAATTACGTTTATTCTTATTCTAATATTAATTTTAGAGAAAATTTAGCTGGCGTTATCAGATTATATCGATTTTCATTCGTCTTTTATTACTATTTATTTTATAAAAATTTTAATATTGTCGGATGTCTGATTTGCGCACGGATGGCAAGTTTTCCGACAAATGTGCTTCGTGCAAAAAAGCAGATGGTTCTGCAGTATGCTGTTCGCTCGACTGTGAAACGCTCGCTCGATAGGGAAGAACGACATAAAATCGTTCATTTAGATATAAAAGAATTTTTTTACACGGTTTCCTAGCACGTTTTTTTCCTAATTAGGTTTAGAGACAGAAAATATAAATTATATTAATATTAATATCAAACATTGCGATGCAACAGTATCTTATTAACAGGGATTTCGTTTATCTTTCGTTAACTTAACAGAGATCTATTTTGTATTACTTGATAAATAATAACGGTTTTAACAATTTAATTTTCTTACATTTCTTCAAAAGAGATAATGTGTATAATATAAATAAAATATAATAATAATGCACCAGGAATTTTTCAAAATTTTTAACAAGGATATTTAATTGATATTTAATATAAACACATAAATATATAAATTTTATGAAAACACGTAAAATAAAATAAACTAACTCCATTTTTATTCATCTTTAAAATTATTGATTGCTAAAGGAAGAAAGTACATTTACTTTGTTTCGAGTAATATCATCTTATGGTCAATATAACTTTATTCTAGATGGAGTCACTTTCAAGATTTGAAAGAATTTTTATTTGTACGTAAAATAGAATAACATTATTCTTTAATCAAACAATCTTTTTATGTATAAAATTAATAACGAAAGTCGGATATTTTGCAAAATATCTAATATTTTATGTCCTAAATTATTTTGGTGTATAATTTCATGGAATATTTATCTTTTCACATAATCATACATCAATCATTTTTGTATAAAATAATGAAAAAACAATTTATTGTTCAATTCCGTGAATATTTCTGTAACATACATACACATATTTATTTTTAAATAATTCTATATAATTTTTTGTATAAATTAATTTTTCCCGTTATTACGCACATAAAAGGGGAATTAGGTATTTTATAAATGTTAGGAAAAAATATTATAAATGTTTCTGTTTCAATGACTTCATTTTTTTATTTCTATATATAAATTATATAGGAAAATCCACTATAAATATAGATTTTTCCTAAAAAAGTAAAGATAACTTTTAAATCTAGAAAATAACTTCAACTATAACAAAGTTGTATTTGAATATGCGAAATAGAACAATTTTGATTTGAAGCATTTCTGTTAATAAGTACTAATCTCGAAGATATTCGAGAAATTGATGGAATTGTTATTAATATGCGGGATTATCTCACGAATTATCTAGATTGTAGGTAATCAGTGCGCGATATAGTTGACACACACATGTCTCTTTATACTTTCCTCTCTGCTTTGTGCATGCTACCTTATACCGCATATGTTTCGTTTGAGAATCGAGATGGGAAATTTGCGACACAGTATAATCTGCTTAAGAGGCCGCGGCGGAATTTACTTTGGAGCACTCGATTTTCATCGGTTTCTGCAAAAGCCGGATCGCGATCGTAGAGACGGTCGACGAAGAAGGTTTACGGTAGTTAAATGATGTTATTCTAACCGCGTCGGAATGTCTCATTGTCCATCTATTTGTCAACCTGAAAAATGTGGGTTTCGGCCCGGATTTCACTGATCCTACCAAATGACAATGACCGCGGGCAAGGAAACGCGGCTAGAAACTGACAGATAAATATCGGCACAATGATAATCTCAACGTTTAGAGGCACAGCGCGCCGACGGGTGGGCTTTTGTTCGCGCTTAAACTCGCTGACAAGTTTTTGGTGGTTTTCTACACGAGCTCCCTTTCGCTCGTGATCCCGGGAAGATAAACGGGTCTGACGTTGAGAGGCGGAAAATTGTTCGTGCACATATCGAAGCGATCCAAAACGCGAACTAAACGACGCGTAAGAAGAGTCTCGACGAGACTTGACAAAATCAACCGTGAAATTTTTTGTCATTAACTACGCAACAAGAATAATGTCACTGTCCTCTTGTGAATCATATCTCCGTATAATTTTAATAAGATTGCTAAATGTAATAGCAAGGACTTTGGGTTCATTTTATCGCCTTAACGAACAAATGTGGCATAATCCGTCTTTTAGAAATAGGCTCGAGGCTATATTCTTCCGTAAGAATTTACAAGAAAGCAATAGGTAGTCTATGCAACTTTTTACGGAATGGACAGTCGGAGACATTCTGTTTGAGAATACTTCTTGTGAATTAGAAAATGTAATGAATTTTAGTTGACGGTCAGTGATGAAGACTAAATCTCAATTTATTGCGAATGTGAGTCTAGAAGATTTTCTGTGTGAAAAAAATTAATAGCTAGGTAGACTGTCTAGATCTATCCGACATCCTTATCGCGATTCTTGATGTATTCGATCATTTCAGAAAGGTGCTTCTTTCGTGACTCAGAGACTCTTGATTTATGCAACTTGAACAGGCTATCTTTTTATACTCTTAGTTTTACAGCACTTTTTGTTCATTCTAACATATCAAACAAATATAGCGATTTGAAAACTATTTAATTATTAACGCGGAATCTGAATTGATCATTCTTACATGTTGTTTATATAAATATTATATGTATATCTATTTATACGTAGAAGTTTTATAATCTTAATATCAAATTATTGAAACTTTTCCCATAACAAGAAAATATTTACGTAAACCCTTTTATTTACGCGTTCTCACGCTCCATCATTATTGTTTATATAGCTCACGGAATCGAGAGAGGCCTTTTTCGTCATAGGCTAATCCGATTTATCTAGTTTCCATGGCATACCTGCTTTATATTGACAAAATTCATTTGAGGATTATCGACTGATCCTCGTTTTGTAAATACTTGATCCGAAAAAGATTTCTTTTCTCACTACGATTTATCTCGGAAGTATTCATAATATTAGTTTACGCTCTCCAATTTTGACTAAAAAATATTTTTACATATATATATATACATAAGTATAATGAATTAACAGTGAACAAAATTTATTCTGTTAAATTAAATTTAAGAAAAGAAAATTTTTGCAATAATAATCAAGTTGCTTTATGCAGTTATCTTTGCCAATGTAGAAAATGTTCATGTGATAAGATAATTATTACACTGAAGTAAGCATAATTTAAATACTAAATATTTTAAGATAACAATTGAATAATAATTCTGCAATACTTAATAACTTTATTATTATATTATTATTTTTATATCTAGCATTGGCTATATTTTCAAAAGTTACTATTATTTTTTCGTAATAATTCGAAATATAGGTATTATAAATTTAGTGTAAGTTTCTTTCTTAATCTTTTGAGATTTCAAATTTAAATACATATTTTGAAAGCTCACGTGTTGTCAGCCACAGAAATCTTTGCTTCATTTTACCGCGGGATGTAATATACTATAATAGGATTATACCTGCAGGTGGCTGAAGGCAGTAGCAATTATTCAGAAGCGAGGAATCGCAAGTATTCTCGGTACGCTGCTATAATTTATGGTTGGCGTTGCCAAATGGCGGCAACTAGGATTTCCTCGCATGTACCGCATATTGCATTGTATAGCTTATATACACTTATTCTGCACGATCACGTAATAATTTCATTTATCATTAACGTAGGCATGAAAATTAAAATATCTAAGAATAGCTTTTTATGGCAATAATTACGTTAAAGTCAAGACAAGCAGGACCAATATGCAAAAATTATTGGATCGAAAAGCTGAAATTTGAATTTCTGAGGTGTTAAATATTTATATGGATATATATACAGGGTGTTTCCAAATTAAATGGCAAAACTTCGGGAGCGTGTAGAGGAGTAAAAAACTAAGAAAAAAAGTCCTATAGACATATGCTCCTTTTTGCTTTGTTTCGCAGGAAATCACGAAAAAAGAAAAAAATATATTTAATTTATTATTTTAATTATTTTATTTATAAACTTTTTAATGAAGATTTTGTTCGAAATGTGCACCTCTTGCAGCAATACAAGCATTGCATCTGTCAAACACGGCTCTTGTAGCAGCCAGGCACTGTTCTTGCGATATTCTGTTCGCTGCAGCTACGATACGATTTCTCAAATGTTGCTCTGATTGAATAGGCGAAGAATAAACTTCTTGCTTCAGAGTACCCCATGCATAGAAATCTAATGGCGTTAAGTCGGGCGAACGAGTTGCCCAATGTACTGCTCCTCCACGTCCAATCCATCGTTGTGGGAATTTTCTATCTAACCAGGTTCTAGCGACTCTGCTGTAATGAGCAGGGCATCCATCTAATTGAAACCACATTTCAGTACGTTGTTGTAATGGGATGTTTTCTAAATAGTCAGAAAATTCATTCTCCAAGAAATTTAGAAAACGGTCCCCATTTAATCTTGCAGGTAAAAAAAACGGTCCCACTAAAACGTCGTTCCAAATTCCAAGCCAGACATTAACAGAAAACTCTTGCTGAAATTTGTATTCTCTAACAGACCTGGGATTTTGATGAGCCCATATATCATAATTCCTTTGATTAATTATTCCACCTCTGGTAAATGTTGCCTCATCTGACCACATTATTTTAGATGGAAATAAAATATCATTGTGGCATGTCTGAAGGTACCAGTTACAAAAGTTCAATCTGTTCCAATGATCTTGAGGTAATA